ATAGATGTGTGGGTTTATTTCTGGGCTTTCGATTCTATTCCATTGATCTGTGTGTCTGTTTTTGTGCCAGTACCATGCTGTTTTGGTTACTATAGCTCACAAAGCCATTTTTAATTTCTCCTTTTCCTCCGTTGTATGTTTTCTCAAATCTCCAGCGGCAATTTTCCCATTTACAGGGTTAAGCTTACAGCTGCCAGGTAATGCCTCGAAGGGGGAGAGGGGCTTGAAGCAGCATCTGACGTGGGTTTTTTCCTTTTTCCTTTTTTTTTACCCTAGTTTATCTAAAGCTTTGCTCCAGCCCTGGAACCTGATTTAACGTTTTATAGGGGAGAGCAACGCAAACTTTTAAGGTTTTGGCCCACCCAGAGCTCACCCTTGGGAATGTTTGGGCCCTTTCTTCTCCCACCTGGAGGAGAGAACAAAAACCAAAGGCAACACCCGGGCTGTATTTTTTATTTTGTTTTGTTGTTTGTTTTTAGCCGTACCAAGAGGTTTTGCAGATTTGTCCTTCCACTAGCAGTATTTGAGAGATACAACCTTGTAGGCATCGCTTCTTTGGAGATGGGAGTCTCTGCTATGCACAGTTGAGAATTTCACTCTATACTGTTTTGTATTTCTTTTTTTAAAATTGTGGTAAAATAAACATTAACATAAAATTTGCCATTTAAACCATTTTTAAGTGTACAATACAGCACATTAACTACATTCACAGTGTTGTGCAACCATCACCACTATCTATTTCCAAAACATTTTCATCATCCCAAACAGAAACTCTGCACTCATTAAGCAATAACTCCCCTTTCTCTGTCTCCCCTCAGCCCCTGGTAACCTCTGTTCTATGTTCTGTCTCTATGACTTGCCTATTGTAGATATTTCATATAAGTGGAATCATAGAAGATGTGACCTTTTGTGTCTCGCTTAGCATAATGTTTTCAGGTTCATCTGAGTTGTAGCATGTATCAGAACTTCATTCCTTTTCATGGCTGGAAAATATTCCATTGTATGTATATACCTCATTTTGTTTGTTCGTTTCTCTGTTGATGAACACTTGTGTTGTTTTGCCTATTGTGAATAATGCAGCAATTAACATCCATATAAAAGTATCTGAGTCACTGCTTTCAGTTCTTTTGGATATATAACTAAGAGTGGGATTTCTGGGCCCCCAAGACTGTTCTCAGATGCAATGAGTCACTAGAAGTACTCACAGGACCCAGAAGGTATCACACTGTTTACTACAGAGGCAGGATACAGAGGAAAATCAGCAAAGGGGCAAGGTGCATGGGAGGAAGTCCAGAGGATACCGGGCGCAAGCTTCCAAGAGTTGTCTTGGAATGAAGTTGCACAGGACAGGTTTAATTCCTCCTGCAGTGATATGTGACAACACATGCAAAGTGTTGCCAACCAGGGTAGTTTATTAAAGATTCAATGCCTGCTATGGACTGAATGTTTGTGTGCCCCCAAAATTTATATGTTGAAACCCTAATCCCCAAGATGATGGTATTTGGAGATGGGGCCTTTCAGAGGTAATTAGGTCCTGAGGAGGGAACCCTCATGATGGGATTAGTGCTCCACCACGTGAAGATACAGTGGGAGGATGGACATCTGCAAACCAGGATTCAGGGGCACACCAGACACCAGATCTGCTGGCACTTTGATCTGGGACTTCCCAGCCTCCAGAACTGTGAGAAATAAATGTTTGTTGTTTAAGCCACCCAATCTGTGGTAATTCATTATAGCAGCCCAAACTGACTAAGATAGTGCCCAAGATTTTTATTGTGGGCTGGTCACATAGGCACCCTCAGCCTAATACATACCAAAATTTTAGACTTCCAGAAGGAAAGCAGGTTGTGTTCAACATAAACCATTGCACAGTTTAGGCACAGTAAACCACCCCTATCAACTAGGGAAATGGTGGCATCTCTCACAAAATCTGTTTCCAGATGACGGCCAAAGGCCAATCTTGCAAGCAGGCCTATCTAAATATGGCCATCTCAGGCTCACTGAATTAACTCTTTTCTACACTGTGACCCTTCTAACACTCAGTATCCACTGGATAGCCTTTGATGGAATAGGTACAGGAGAACTTTGATAAGAAAATACTTGTATATCACAAAAAATGTGGGGAAAATAAGCATAAAAAATTTTAAACATCCATTCATCTATCATATAGACTTATACACATTTAATACTTGGACATAATTCATTACAATTTCTTCTTGTAATCATCTTTAAATAGAAAAATACACTATTAAATGAATTTTCAATTGTCAGTATATCAAAAGCATCTCCTATATAGGTAAAAGCTCTATATATATATATAGACTCTATTTTTTAGAGAAGTTTTAGGTTGACCACAAAATTGAGCAGAAGTTGTAGAGTTTCCATATAACCCCTGCCCCTACACGTGCAAGCCTTCCCCACTGTCAACGTCCTGCACTAGGAGTGGTACATTTGTTACAATCCATGGACCTACCTTGACGTATCTATATCATCCGAAGTCCGTACATGATTTACGTTAGGGTGCACTCTTAGTGTTGTGCATTCTATAAATTTTGAAAAACGTATAATGACATGTGTCCACCATTGTAGTATCCTACAGAATAGTTTCACTGCCCTAAAATTCCTCTTTGCTCTGCCTATTCATCCCTCTCTCCCCCAATGCCCTGGCAACCAGTGATCTTTTCACTGTCTCCACTGTTTTGTCTTTTCCAGGATGTCACCTAGCTGGCATCATACACTTATGCAGCCTTTTCAGATTGGCTTCTTTCACTTAGTAATACACATTAAGTTTCCTCCATGTCTTTTTATGGCTTGATAGCTCAATTCTTTTTAGCACTGAATAATATCCCATTGTCTGGATGTACCACAGTTTATCCATTTGCGTACTGAAGG